AATAATGTATTCTAATAATGTAAATTTGTTATAAATAAAATTAAAGCAATACAAGAAAATTAGCCACCAATTTGCAAGTCATTAATTGCTTGATCTGCAAAGATCCTTTCTCTACTTAGTCAAACAAAAATAATTTTGTTTTCGATACAATCTCTACAGTAGCACTTTGCAGAGAGCTTATGTATCATACAGTAGTATTAATCAAGTGCTTCACAGATACTTGGAGCTCTCGCATCCCTTCCCTTGCTTTTACATACATTTTTGTAAGTCACGTACAAAGATTCCAAAAAAGGCCACGTTTTAAAACATGAATACTTAGACCTCCAGTGTTTACTTTTCTTTGTACTACCATTCAGAAGAACAACAAAACTGGGTTTTTTAGGGCAAGATCAAGAGGGAGTTTACTTACAGCATAATTCATGATTTCAACAAAAAATATTTTGAGTCAATCACAGATTAATATCTAGTACCTTTCCTTAATTTGAAGTAAAGAGGTAAAATACTTTGATTTGCAAAAACAAACTGTTTTGTGGATGCAGAGGCAACTTTTTCAAATTTGATTTCTCGGAAGTGATTATAAAGTCAAATCAGCTTTCTTTTCTCTAGTATGTAATCGTTTTGGTTTGTGCCTCCCTATTTACTGAGATTACAGGATATGCTATTTTATTTTGCTTCTATTTTCAGATACTTGCCGTTTGGTGCTTGTTCTGGTTCCCAGTGGTTTAACAGCATAACAACTAAAAGCCAGCTTAATGAAATTGCCCTAAATGAAGGGACTATCAATGTTGTCATGTCCCTTCCAGGGTCTCAAATGATGAAACACGCTACAAACGAATCCTACCTCAATGTTATTTTATTTCAAAGAAATCCACCACATAATCAGAAGGGCTGTATCATGTGCACATATGTTCTGTCCTCTCTATTTTAACAACTTCTATCTATATAAATATTTGTGAACTGTTACATTCTTATACAATACAACGACCTCCTCCACTAGATGGCCCTGACACTCACTATGTGTATCAAAGCTGTTCGAACACTTACATGTTTGAGACAATTAAACAAAGTACACCAGCAAGCAGTTATTAAGAAAAGGCTCTGACACTGGCATACTTCCATACCCAGGAAACAGACAAAAAGTAAAAGATTATTTTGAAATTAGTCAATAAATATGCTCATCATTCCCTCCATAGTGTCAGCAAAACTTCTATCTTCAGAGTCCAAAATCCAAAAATTTTAGCAGAATGTATGTCCCTCATATCCCAGATATGAATACACAGTTGACACTTTAAAAATTCAAGTTGATTATTTTCTTATATAATAAAAAAGCTGCACAAGTAAAACAAATTGGAGTCTAGATGGCACAAAGTCGTGCTGTTCAAGGATGTGGCCATATTAAAACATTTCCTTCACCTGAGATAGTTTCTCTTCCAAACAGCTTTCGATACCCCTGATAGTCCAACCTGTGTTTATGAAGCTACACTATACCATGTCAACTTAGCCAGACATGTATACGCTACAACTGATGGAAGTATATATTCATTATATAACTGTATTGCATGTGGTATGCAAAGACATCTAGTAGCCCAACCTGAAACACTTTTCAGGTAAAATAATTGACTGCATTTCTCTTAAACTAACATAGCTGAATACATTTAGCTGACAGCATCCATTTTTTTGAATGAGACTAAATAATATATCTTCAAGACTGGAAAATAAAAAGCTATCCCTCGATAAAAGGTACTAATAAATACTAGTATCAGTATCACAACTCTTCTGGTAGTCACATTTCTCTCATTGATCACTTTAATTGCTGAGTTTTGTGGGGGTTTGGTGGGGATCCCCCCCGCCCCCCGCACTGCATCTCTGCTGAACTTGTAGAAAGTGCAAATTTCATGTTCTGAGCGGCAGATACTTTATGAGCAAGTATCTTGATATTTCTCCTTTGTATTCTGATTTCATTTGTCATTCTACCCTTTATGCACAAAAATGTTTCCTACTGCAAAGTCTGCAGGTAATTGATTATATTTTACTTCATCTACAATACCTACACATCGTGTAAAATGAATGATCTGCATACACAGATTTTTAAGTAACATACACCTTTTAAATAAGGAAACTTTGCAAATGTGTACGTTTTCCTTTTGAGGAATTAATCCGTCAGTGCAAGGCTAGTGAAGAATTACAGCAAATATTTAACAGGTTTACACACTGGTGTTTCAGCCATCCTAAATAAAACCTGGAGATAACAAATGTTAAATGACATATGAGAAGTACTATTGCAAGTTCAATGGTTTTCCCTTTCTCCTTTAATATTCAGCACCTCTTCACTGTTTTGATTTTGTTTAAAATAAGAGTAGATAAATACTTTTCCAGTTATCTGTTCTTTTAATGTTTCTTCTTTGGTCATCCATGTTTATCTTCATCTGTTATATTCAAAATGTTAGTGAAGATCTTTCAGTACCGATTCTAAAATCGGACTGAATATTTAGCATTGAACAAACCTAAAAAAGAATACATGAAAGTGTTTCAAAGCATCTATTTTCCAAGATGAATGTTCAACAAAACTCTCAATTCTTCCATTTCTCTTCTTCTGGTCTCACTTGTAATTCATTGTCAAATAGTATTTTCAATTTTCATTTAAAGAATATTTTTCTTTTAATTTGTACTTGCTATTGGTTGGGGAATTTTCAACCATTAAGTATTTTCACTTAATTCACTTCCGTTCAAGTATTTTTACCATGATTGCAAAAGGAGAACAATAGTTGTTCTGCACAAATACTGTGGTTTTGAGCAGGTTTAGAGACAAAATACTTGCAGAAATCAATACCATTTTGTGCTAAAATAACAACTTAATCCTACAAACCTGTTTAAATTTTCCTCTGATTTTTTCCAGATCTTCTTGCAGCTTATCGTAAGTGGGGTCTTCATATGGGAATTTCTGAATCATCCCTATTAATGAATCCAGAGCCCTTATCTTTTTGCTACAAAACAAAAAAGATCAAATCAAAACAGAAAAAACAACGAGCCTACTACAGAAGTTTTTTCAATCCATCAATATGAAAATTATATGAATATTTATATATAATAATTCAGAGCATAGAATTCAGCCTTCCATCCTTCTTGAATTCAACTTCTCCCATATGTTTTTCATACATATTTAAGCCATAATCAGAAATTAAGCTGTAGCACAACTGACAAAGTTAAGGTTTCCCTTTTAACTTGCCTGCCAAAAGTTGAGAAATATTCAAGAATCTTCAGAAACATTGATTAGATAACTGAGCAAAATAAAGAAATACAATAAAAAAGCTCACCAGAACATGTATCAAAATGGTTGACAATATGGTTGCAATTCTGTCAGATAAAACAATCAAAACTGGACAGAAAAAATTATGGAGAAAAGAATGAAAGTCACAGAAAAATGTAGGTTGGAAGGGACAGCTGGAGGTCATCTAGTCCACCTTCTGTGGAAGCTGGACTAACTTCAAAGCTCGATAAGGTTGCTCAGGGCCATCTCCAACCAGATTTTGAAAATCTACAAAGATGGAGTTTCTGGAGTCTCTCTGGACAATGTGTCCCAGTTCTTAGCTACCTGCACTGGAAAGGACCTTCTCCTTATGCCCCAGCAGAACTTAACTTGTTTCAAATTGTGAAAGTTGCCTATTGTCCTTCCACTATGCACTTCTGCAAGGAACATGTCTCCACCTTATCTAGAACTCCACCTTATGCAGTACAACTAGGTATCTCCCTTGTCTTGTCTTCTCTTCTCCAGGCTGAAGAAACCAAGTTCCCTTATCCTCTTTTCATTATCACATGGTCCAGCACATGATACCACCCTACCCCCCTCCGTTCACTTTTCTTCTGATTTTCAGTATTTCTTTTGCATCAGGGAAGAGGGAAAACTGGGCACCATAACTTGAAACAGTATGAAAGGAACAGGTTTGTTTTTTGGTTTTTTTTAACCTTACCTGTTCTTTTCATCTGTGCATTTCTGGAGCAGACACTGCCACGTCAGTGCAAACCCAAGGTAGCTGCCAATCTGCAAATTTATCAGAATGTCATGAGGAAAAAAAAATACACATGTAGTATATGTAGTCAAACCAAAATAAAGCACTACAGTGTACCCCATTCTCCAGGAAACAAATCACTGGATATACAAACATGTTTCCACACTGGATAGTTCAGTAAACTAGGGTAGAATAAATAAGGGCTGTGTTACACAGTACAACAGTCAGAAAACTTCTTGTAAGAATCCGTTTAACATCAAAGGACAAAATATTTAAAATGCAGCATAACAAGCAATTCTGCAAAAACAGTAGACATACTTTATATGCTTCGAACCTCCAAATTTATTAAAGTGTGGAGACAGAAAACAACCTCTTTAAGATGTTTCGGTACGTATTTATTTTTGCAGCACTGCCAGTTTAAGCAGCCCACGCACAGCATACAAAAAGGTGTATCAGCTGGACTGAGGGAGCTACCAAGTCACCCAAAGAGGAAACCACACTTTTTTTCTGAGTTAATATGCAATTTTACCAGCCTAACTCAAGAGGGTAGCATGGAATCAGAAAAAAAGCACAAGGAGCTGACTAAGCTAGCATTGCTGCCAGAACTTCTCCTTACAACTTTGGACACCAAATGAAATAGGAATACAGCTAAGTTCTTCAATGCGCCTACTGGGTAAGTCAGCTGGAATCCCTTTTAAAAGCAACTTAGCAATGCAGACATCTGAAACAAAACTTAGCTGACTGCTTAGAGACCCAGGGTAAATGGAGATAACTGACAGAGCAGTTACCGCTGCTGTAAACACAAGCTACTATGGTTAAACATACCTGGTCCCTGAACACCTAGCTGCAGACTTCTCAGCTTAATTAGCACTGCTCTGCCACAGGGGTGCAGTGCTAATCTTCTGCTTGAGCCCAAGCAGATACTGTGCCTAAGCCTGCCTGAGGGATGTGCCCAAAACCACACACACTTGAATTATAACATCTTTCTTTAATTCTCTATCAAGCAAGGCCAGCATCAGATCAGCACCATAATTTTGCCCAAGACACAAAATAGGCCCACGGGTCTAAGATTACCCAAGTTGCTCTTTTTCCCATTTAACATGACTCGCTGACTACAATCCTACTGTCCTCTGGAGCTTCCCCAACACATATAAATTAGAGCGCTCCTCTATTATGGTCTGTCTAAGGCCATTTTGTATAAAAGTATCCAGCTTTGGAGGCCACTGTTTAACATTCTTGTCTTGCAACTACATAGCTGTAGCATAAGTAGGAAAATATTTCATCACTGTACATCTCTGTATCACACCCAAATGCAAACCAAAGTTTTATGATAACCATCCTTTCAGAATTTGACATTTTGCCTTCCTCACTGCGAAATGGATTAATACGATTGCTACTGGTCTTTCTGTAGGTAATTAACTTTCTGAAACCGAAAATATCAAAAGGACAAATGCCAAATTACCCAAAGGCTTCAGTAGAGCAAATAGATTTAGATTTGTAGCATTGTACTTGAAATAAGGCCTCCCATGAATCCTGTAGTACAGTTTCCCATCAAAGCTGAAAAAAACCAGTTTAGGTCCAAAAATTCTATAACTACATTGTACAGCACTGAACACACCCCATGTTACAATAAACTTTAGCTGGACATAAGAAACAAGGTGCCTCACCACCACTCTCCAGTCCTTTCGTTTCTAGGAAGGCTTATAGATTCAGGTATGCCATCGCATGAGTGTGCCAACACACAGAACTGACTCCATGCACTAAGGAGTAACAGTACCTCAACCAACAAACTCTCTTGGTATTGGAAATAACCAAGAGTGAACAGAGACACCCAGAATCATCCCTTTATGGTTCACACCCAAGGTGTCTCAATGTTCCATGTTTTTCCCTAATGCTGAGCCACAGGACAGGGTACAGGGAGGAGCCTTTAGCCACAATTTTGGCTTACAAAAATAAATGTACAGTCCATGACAAAATGAAACAAGCTTGCTCAGAAAAAAAAATTTGTGTGTCTTCTTATCTTCTGTTTCAGAAAAAAAATAACCAAAATATCATATAGCAAATAAGCTGAGAAAACATAAAACCATCTATCCAGCTGAGCAACCTGATCTAGCTGAAAATGTCCCTGCTCGCTGCAGAGGGGTTGGACCAGATGACCTTTAAAGGTCCCTTCCAACCCAAACTATTCTATGATAGCTGTTCGAACCAAAATACCACCTTTAAAGTAGTTTTACGGACCCTCTTGGATACGTGCAAAGCAGTATAACAGAGCAGGCCTCAGACTACCAACACAACAGACTTTGCCTCACAGTTTCTGTATTACAATAATTTTAATGACAAAACAATCGCATTTCTGAAGTATTTTCTTATTTACCTCTGACCCAATCTTGGCACCATGGAGCGATCCATACCTCCTTCCCTCAATAACTCCAACGTGACTGCCTTCAGCATACCCCTCCTGATACCCCTCACCATGAAACCTGTAAAGACACAAGTGTGATTTTTCACACCTATTTTCATCGCATATCAAACTCACGCTGTACACAAGCAACTCGCAGAAACAAAAACATGCTATATCATCTCTGAACTGCAACTACCCACGTTTAGAAATATCACATAACGCTGATTTAAGTGAAAATGTAATTATGCACACTGTGATCTCCTCAAACAAGTTTACAATGACTTGCAGAGAACAACGCACTCTGCAATCCAGCTCAGTGCTTTCACCAGAATAACACCGCTAACTACAAGCTCACAACTCCGGGTCAACTTTCCACACCTGAGCCGAGATCAAGCAGGTCGGTCGCTGAATTCCCTTCTCCTTCCTCGCCCCTTCCCTGGGCTCATTACCCGCCCCTCACCCCTCACTTTTTCCTTCTCAGCTCCTACTGCTGGCTGTGGAAGCCCAGGCCCAGGCCCGGGGCCTCCTCC